ACAAGTTTTATAGTTCATTTTCAACTGAGTACCACTGCTGCATTTGCTCACCCGTTCTTCTTCCATTAGCTTAATGTAGTTTTGATTTGCATTTTATTTATGGCTAAGGATGTTTAGCATTTCTTTACATATCCATTAGCAATTTGTACTCCCAAGAACTCTATTCAATTTGCTTTCCTTTTACTAATTACTTGTTCATTTGCTGTTGAGTGTTTTGAATTCTTTGTATATTCTGGATGTTAATCCTTTATATATTGATTATGATTTTCTTTTATTCTGTGTGTTGTCTCTTAATTCTGATCGTTGTTTCTTTTGCTGTGAAATTTTTCAGTTTGATGTAATTCTATTTGTCAATTCTTGTTCATTTCTGGGCAGTTGAACTATCAAAAAATAATTACCCGTGCCTTTAACTTTCAGAGTTTTCTGCATGTTTTCCTTTAGTAGATTTAAAGTTTTAGTTACTTTGAGTTCTTTCATCTATTTGGAGTTGATTTTTTTTTTTTTTTTTACAGAGTGAATGATAGGCTTCACATTTCAATATCCTGCTAGGAGTTGGTGACTCACACCTGTAATCCTAGGTATGCAGGAGGCTGAGATCTGAGGATCGAAAAATTAACTTGGGCAGACAGGCTAACTCTTGTCTCCAATTAACCACCAAAAAGCTGGAAATGGAACTGTAGTTCTGGTATTATAGCACCAGCCTTGAGTAAAAAAAACTAAAGGACAGTACCCTGGCCCAGTACTGGCATACAAACACATAAAAAGTTTTAGCCCCTTCCAAATAGATAACCAGTTTTCCAACATCATTTGTTGAAGATGCTATTTTTCTCAAGTGTATGTTTTGAGGTTCTTTGTTGAAAATTAGATAAGTATAATTGTGGTTTTACTTCTGGACCATCCATTCCATACCATTACAGTGATCTTTGTGCTGTTTTGTTACTGTATTTCTATAGTATAATTTGAAGGCTAGTATTGTGATATGTCCAGTTTTGCTCCTTTTATGGAGATTTGTTTTGATTATTCAGTGTCTTTTATGGTTCCATGTAAATTTTTAGATTGTTTTTTTATGTCTGTGAGGAATGAATGATATTGGGATTTTGATGGATATTGTGTTTAATCTGTAGATTGCTTTTAGCAGAATGGTCATTTTCACAATATTGATTATGCCAATCCATGAGCATGGGAGTTCTTTCCATCATTTAGTCTTTAGGTCTTTTGCTTCTTTGCCTCAAGTTAATACTATTTTATTGTTTTGAGGCTATTATGAATGGAATTGTTTTCCTTATTGCTTCAGCCTGTTCATTACTAGTATATAGAAAAGCTCCTGATTATTATTATTTTTTGCATTTTTCTTTTTCTTAATTTTTTTGTTATTATAAAGATTATGTACAGAAGGGACTATAGTTACATAAATTGGGTAAAGAGTACATTTCTTTTTGGACAATGTCAGCTTTTCCCTTCCTCTCAGTTTTTCCCTCCTATCCCTACCTACAAGTTGTATAGTTCATTTTTCAACTTAGTGTCTAGTGAGTATCACTGCTGCATTTGTTCATCTTTTGTCCCTCCATTTCTGTACTCCCATTGCCCTCTTAAAGACAAGTAAGTACACAAAAAAAGACAAAAAGCGCAGAAAAAACGGCAATGAAGTACAAACTGCTCACTTTCATCCCCTGGTATTCATTTAGATGAATATGATTGCATATGAACAGTTGCACATAGGCATTGTACCTTTGTGTTCATCTCCTAAGAATATCCTCCTTTGGTCTCACTGTCTATGAATGCCTAGAGTCTTGTATATTTTATCATGTCCCAGTGTATTTTAGATCTAACTTCCGCATATGAGAGAAAACATGTAGTTTGTGTCTCTGAGCTTGGTTTACCTCACTTAACATAATTTGTTCTATATCCATCCATTTCCCTGCAAATGCCATAATAGTATTCTTTCTAATGGCTGTCTAAAATTATATTGTGTTCCGGTACCATATTTTTTTGCATCTACTCATCTATTGTGGGGCATCTGGACTGTTTTTATAACTTGGCTGTTGTGAATAGTGCAGCAGTGAACATGGATGTGCAAATGTCTTTATGATATCCTGGCTTGTGATGTTCTGGGTGGATGCCCAAGAGTGGTATGGCTGGGTTATAGGAAAAATCTGTTTAGTTTTCTGAGGAACCTCCAGACTGTTGGCCAGAGTGATTGAAGCTGCTGTTTTCTGAATGTTGACCACCTTCAGACTCTGTAGGGCAGTAAGTATAGAATCATATCTTCAAATAAGGTTAATTTGGTTTCTTCCTTATATCCCCTTTTTTCTTTGTCCTAAATATTGTTCTAGCAAGAACTTGAGTACCATATTGAATAAGAGTGAGGAGAGTGGACACCCTTGTCTCATCCTGACTTTAAGGGAAATGACTTGTTTTTTCCTGTTTAATTTGAGGTTACTGTGTCCATCTATAGTCTTTATCATGTTCAGGTACATCCCTTCTATTTCTAGTTTCGTCAGTACCTTTATTAAAGATTGTTAAATGCTCTGAAAAGCTTTTTATGTGGAAATTGAGATGATCGTGTGATTTTTATTTATTTATATTTTTTTTTGCCAGTTCCGGGGCTTGAACTCAGAGCCTGGGTGCAGGCCCTGAGCTTCTTTTGCTCAAGACTAGTGCTCTACCACTTGAATCACAGCACCACTTCCAGCTTTTTCTGAGTAATTTATTGGATATAGGAGTCTCATGGACTTTCTCCTACCTGGGCTAGCTCAGGCTGCTCTCAGCCTCCTGAGTAGCTAGGATTATAGATGTGATCCGCCAGCACCCAGCATTTTTGTTCTTTTTTTTGGGTGTGTGCCAGTACTAGGGCCTACCACTTTGAGCTTCTTGGTGGTTGATTAGAAATAAGAGTCTTACGGACTTTATTGCTCAGCGGGCTTTGAAGTGCAGTCCTCATATCTCAGTCTCCTGAGTGGCTAGGATTATAGATGTGAGCCACCGGCACCCAGCTACAAAATTTGTATCAAAATCAGAATGATGTTTATGGCCTCAAGTTAAACAGACATTGTTAATTTTGTGTAAATTCAAACTCTCATCTCAGTGTTCCTGCCATTCTTGTCTCTTTTGCTGTTTTTGACAAGTGTTTGCATATTTAGTCTATTATCTATAATATGTCTAGGGTATTTCTTCTCTGACCTTGCATGTTTGTTCTGTAAGCCACCTTCACTTGAATGATTCTTCTCAAGGTTAGAGGGGTTTTCTGCTATTCTTACTTACCGGTCCTGGGGCTTGAGCTCAGGACCTGGGTGCTGACATGAGCTCTTGTGCTCAAGGGTAGCAGTCTACCACTTGAGCCATAACTAAAAAAAAAAAAAAATTATATATATATATATATATGTATATATGTAATTATAAAGATACTGTACAGAAGAGTTACAGTTACATGAGCAAGATGAGTCCATTTCCTATCGAGCATTGTTACCCCCTTCTTTGTTTTTCCCCTGCCATCCCTTTTCTCTCCAGTACTTTCCCCCCAAAGTTGTAAACTTCATTTTCAACAGTGTTTGAGCCATAACTTTATATCTGGCATTTTGGTGATTGATTACAGATAAGTGTCCCACAGACTTTGCTTGGCTGGCTTTGAACTACAGTTCTCAGATCTCAGCCTCCTGAGTAGCTAGGATTATAGATGAGAGCCATTGGTGCCGGCTTTCAGTTACATTTTAAGGCATCAGTTTTGTAGTTACTTGATTATATGATCTTCTGCTATAAACTCAATAACCAACATTGATACATATCCTAAAATTTTCTTGAACAACTTATATTGAATAAATTCTGAAAACTACCAACAAGCAAATAAAGAGAAAATGTCATATATATTAAAAGGAAAAGTACAGAATTGGAAGAAGGTTTTAAAAGAGAGATGTATAGATACCATATATCAACTAATTAAGAGTCAAAATAGAACATCAGTGGGAAACACTTAAGACTAAAAAATGAATTGAATTGCAAGATTTTTAGTCACCTCAACTCTGAATGTTTTCTATTCCTCGGTCAGGAGGGAACACAGTTTATCCAGGCCAGGCCCAAGTTTCATTTTCGTTTTTATTCTTTACCTGTGTATTTTTGTGGTTGATCTTGTGTAGAATCTTACTGGCTTTGTGCTTGCTATGCAAACAACTCACACTTGAATCATTCCCCTATCACCCTCATTCCCCAGTCCTGTTTTCTTTTAGTGTTTTTAGGTAGAGTCTTATGCTTTTTCTCAGGCTGGCCTTTGGACCTTCATCCTCCTACCTCTGCTTCCTGAGTAGATGAGATTTCATGTGTGTACCTGGCCATCATACTGTCAAATACTACTTGTAGTTACTAATTCATATTGTTTAGGCTGAAAATGGTTTTCTTTTTTTTCTTTTGTTTTTGGTCGGTCGTGGGGCTTGAACTTTGGGCCTGGGCACTGTCCCTCAGCTCTTCAGCTCAAGGTGAGCACTCTACCACTTGAGCCACAGCGCCACTTCCGGTTTTCTGGTGGTTTATTGGAGATAGGAGTCTCTTGGTCTTTCCTGCCAGGGCTGGCTTTGACCCACGATCCTCAGATCTCAGCCTCCTGAGTAGCTAGGGTTACAGGCATGAGCCACCAGCGCCTAGCTGAAAATGATTTTCTTTAAGCTACTCTTAGATCTTTTTATGACTACCTCTCATTTTTCACTAAAGTCTTAAAGGACTACTCAGACGTTCTCTTTTACAATTTGTTGTTGCCTATTTACCCTATCAGCTTTTGGAAACATAACAGTTTGTTTGCTTATATAATATTTCCTCAACAAAGGTAGCATTATGTAAGGTATTAGATTATCAGTTTTGTTGATCAGAAATATCAATTCTAAATTATTTGGTAAGACCAGGTTTTGGATAAATGTCTGTGTCAGTGGTTTCCCATTTTATAGCCACAGGAATATGGGAAGTGTGCAGTTTTATATTTGTTTTTATCCATTTCTTTGTTTTTTATTTTTTGGCAGAGAAACTTTTCCATGTCTGTAAATAGTGCTGCTGTCCTGCGATTGACAGGACGAGGAGGAGGCGGCACAGTGGTGGGGGCTCCTCGAGGGCGAAGTTCTTCAAGAGGCCGAGGTGAGCTACCACATGAAGGAAGCAATCACAGAGCAAGACAGGGATCTTAGTTACTTATTTTAATGCTGTACTCTATTTTATTTTTAAAACCTGGTCTTTGTGCTAACCGCATACTGAATGTTCTTTATTTTCTTAACCATTTCTTTTTTTTTATTCTTTTTTTTAAATTTAATTTTATTTGTGAACATACTGTACAGAGGGGTTACAATTACATGGGCAGGATAATGCATACATTTCTCACCAAGCATTGCAGCCTCCTTCACATCCCTTCCCAGCCTCCCCCCCCCCAATCCCAATCCTTCTCCCCCCCCCCCCATGTTGTAAAGCTCGTTTTGGACATGACAACTTGTACTTCTCATTGTTGCAACAGGCCCACCTGTATCCTTAAACAACTGGTTTTTCCCCATCTCCTCCACAAGTTATACTGACATCAAATATAGTGAAAGCAGGGGTTATACTGTGGGGGAGGGACATACAAAGCAACAAAGAGATAATCTTATAAATGCGTTAGAAACACATGCATGAAAGAAAAAAAACATTAAAATACATATCTAAGGGTTCATTTTCCTGACATCACATTATCTGACCTTTTCCGCTTGACTCATACATATACTAGATATTGCAAATAAGGGAAACCATGGGACCTATGTTTCTTTGTCTTAACCATTTCTTAAAGGTTATCTTCATCACAACTCCTGATAAGGAGAAGAGGCTTATAATTCTAGCTGAATAATTTTGAGTTTCAGGAGATCTACACAGTCCCATTAAATTTCTGCAAATGCTTCTTTCCAATCCTTGTCCACAAGAAGTCTTGAACCTAGAGATCTAGAGCATTCTGACTCATAGAGCAGCAGTAATGTCCCAATGGCCTTCAGTTTCTGTATGAGGGCTCTGAGCCAAAAGTGACCCCAAGCCATAGTAGGACTATAGCAGAAACTATATCAATGTTTTGGTGGGATTATATAGAACAAGAAATAATTAGACAGCAGTCACTTATAAATATACAGTTTTATGGTTTCATGTTGTCTCAGAAAAATTCTTATTTGCTGCTACTTGGTTCTTTGATACTGCTTCCTATTTTGGATTAATTGCTTTTTTTTGCTAAATAAGAACATTCTTGATGTTTACAGTATACCTACTTGAGTATTTATCCCTATGTTGGTTAAATCATAACATTAGTTTAAGCATGTCTTATACTCTTGGAGCTGCTTAAGAATTGGATCTTCACAGGGATAGAGGCCATCATCTTCACATCTCATACAAGCAGATTGATGTGATTGAATTTTTTTTCAACTTTTAAGGTTGTGTCTTATGAGTACAGTGATTTTTATACAATCTATAGAGAATATTTTCAAATAGATTTCTTCTAGTAGTCAGTTAAAATGTGTTTTATGACTAACAAAGGGTAACAGATCCCTCTTTACTGTTTTTCTAGATATTGTTAGCTAATTGTATATTTTTCCCCCTTTTATTTATTTAAAACAGTAAGTTTTAAGCTGAGCATTATGGCTCATGCCTGTAATTCTAGCTATTCAGGAGTTGAGAGCTGAGGATTGTCGTTTGAAGCCAGACTGGGCAAGACCTCCATTAAACTACCAAAATAACCAGAAGTGGAGTTGTAGCTCAAGGGGTAGAGTGCTAGCCCTGAGCACAAAAGCTCAGGGACAGCATCCAAGACCTAAATTCAAGCCACAGGACCAGGAAAAGCAAACAAACAAAAAAAACTGGGGCTGGGAAGTTGGCTCAGTGGTAAGTGCTTGCCTTGCATGCATGAGGCCCTTGGTTGGATTCCTCAGCACCACATAAGCAGAAAAAGCCAGAAGTGGTGCTGTCCCTCAAGTAGTAGAGTGCTAGCCTTGTACTGAAGAGCTGAGGGACAGCACTCAGGCCCTATGACCGACACCAAAAAAAAACAAAAAAATGAAAGTTTTAATGTAAGGAGTAAACTTAATACTAATGCCACAGTTATTTGTATGGCGACATCTAAGTATGTCTGTTCTTCAAAAGATTGAGATGACTTAGATTCACATACCTGGTTAGGCTCAATAGTGTAGAATTTCTTCAGGATCTGTGCATCTTGGTGATACAGAAAGCCAGAAGTGGAGTTATGGCTCAAGTGGTAGTATGCTAGCCTTGAACATAAAAATGGTCATGTATAGTGCCCACTCCTTGAGTTCAAGCTCCAGGACTGGTGCCCCTACTCCAAAAAAAAAAAAGCAAAAACTAGGTGTGGTGGCATGTGTCTGTAACATTAGCACTTAGGAGCCTAAGACAGGAGGGTCATGCGAGAGGCATGGTTTGGCCTACTTAGTGAAGTTCTTTCTCAGAAACCCCCAAAATTAAAATAAAGCAAATCCGCATAACTGTCACCCATGTCTTCAGTATTGTTTTAAAGGGAATGTGTCTGTATATATCAACAAACAGTTTTGGCAGTAATGGAGTTTTGAACTCAGGACTTCATTGCTAAGGCTTCACTATTGTTAGGCTCCACCAAATTGAGCTATACCTCTAGCTTGTTTTGCTTTGGTCATTTTTGAGGTAAGGTCTAGGTTTTTTTGCCTCATCTGGCCTTGTTTCCTGTATTTTATGCTTCCTGCCATAGCTGGAATGACAGGTGCATACCCCCATGTCCAGCTCTTAGTAGAGATAAGGGTCTCATTAACATTTTTGCCTGGGCTGGCTTTGAACTGCAGTCCTACTGATACCCAGCTCCTGAGTAGCTGGGTATAGGTGTGAGTCACTAGCACAGATACACATGCATACTCAAACATACATGTATGTATGAATGTATATACATATGTATATTTGTGTATAGTATAGTATAGTATGTATATATATATATATATATATATATATGTAATTTTTTGGTGGTAGTTGTGTGATTTGAAGTCAGGACTTGTTCTTGCTAGGGAGGCACTCTATCATTTAAGTTGTGCTTCTGGTTCTTTTTGCTCTGATTATTTTTGGGGAAAATTTTTTCCTTTTTTGCCCATGCTGATCTCTGGACTGTAGTTCTGCTCTTAAGCTTTCCACCCTGGCCAGGATTGACCAGCAAGTATAACTAGACACAGCCTTTTATGTTGGTGGAGTCTTAGGAACTTTTTTTGCCCCAGGCTGGCCTCAAACTTAAGTCCTTCTGACCTTAGCCTGCCATGTAGCGGGGACAACAGACACATGCCACCTAGTGGTTGAAAAGGAGGGTCTTGTGAACTTTTTGCCTGGACTAGCTTGAATTATAGTCCCCCAGTCTTTTGTCTCCTGAGTAGCTAAGGTAAGATTATAGGCATGAGCCCACCAGTGGGTTGAAATCTCAGACAATAGAATAATCTTTCAGATTTAGTGTTATGAAAAATTAATCACACTGATCTTTTGTTTATCCAGATTTGTGTTGGAAGGTCCTAAAATGTAATCTTTTAATATATTCCATCAGTAAACATCAGCGATTTCATAATCAGAACCAATGCTTGCCATACTGGCAGTTAACTATTTTTACATATGTTTTCCTGGTATATTTTTTATGTATTCATATGTTTCTAGGATAAATTGTTATCTTACAGATGATACTCATGTAATGAGTTCTGAGAAAATTATTCTCTGAAAGGAATCATTGTTGAAAAGGAACATTGTAGTATAGCATCAGAGTTTGTATTTCATTATTTTAGGGTCTTAAATAAAATATATACATCCTCTAAAGAGGAGAGACTCACTGGACATATGTTGAAAACTTGTGAGTGGGGGTGGGAGTGGAAAAACGGGAAGCGCTCTCCAGAGGGAAGGGGAGACATTGTCCATAAAGAAATGTACTGACTTATATAATGTAACCCCTCTCTCTGTACATCACCTTTATAACAACAGAAAAAAAAATTAAGAGTGATACTGAAGAGATATGGAAGATAATTTTAGGACTGAAGTAGTTCCACTATGGTCCTTATTTCATCTCATAGACGAAATGATACTTAGACTAGTCAAGAGAGCATCCATTGTTTCTAAGATTACCCACATACAATTCTGTGCACTATTTCTGTATTTTATAATATGGTCACAAAAATACAGCTATATTCTGAGTTCTTTGTTTTTCTTTTTTTTCTGTCGGTTGAACTCTGGGCCTAGGCGCTGTCCCTCAGCTCAAGGCGAGAGCTCTACCACTTGAGCACAGTGCCATTTTTGTTTTTCTGAGTGGTTTATTGAAGATAAGAGTCTCATGGAGTTTCCTGCCTGGGATGGCTTTGACCTCAGACCTCAGCCTCCTGAGTAGCTAGGATTACAGGCGTGAGCCACTGATGCTGGCCTGAGTTATTTCTTGATAATGATGTAGAAATAATGACTGGCTTTTTCTTTTGATGTATTTGGTTTTAGAATGCATAAATGTTTTTGCTGAAAATTCATCATTGGAGAGGTACATATGTAGTTGAGGGGTAGAGCATTTGTCTAGCTTGTGTGAATCATGAATTTAGTTCTCAGTACCATAAACAAGTAAGTAAAATGAAAATGAATCAATTTTCCTTTGAGTTGTACACTGTGGGAGAAATTGAGCTAGGGATAAGGGCTAAGATTTCATAAATATACCTTTAGACACCCATACTTCTTCCAGTTTTCTAATGTGTGTATTGGGTACAAATTGTGTGCCTTATCTAGGAAAACTACAGAAAGTATAAAACTAAAAGTGCAAATAGCTTTCTGCCTCCGGATCTCACAATATGGAAGTCTGTCCTTTTTGACCCTTACTGTGCAGTAATATTTACATAAATGGAATATTTTTAATAATGTTCTAAAGTATATTGTTGTCATTCAATAGCAGAATCTAAAGATTCAGTTAAATGTGTTTCCTAATATTCTACATATTTGTTTATGTGTGTATGCATGCATACATGAGTGTGTATTTGTGCATGCGTATACATGACAGTCCTGGGGCTTGAACTCAGGTTCTGGGCACTATCCTTGAGCTTTTTTTTACTCAAGGCTAGAGCTCTACCACTTGAGCCACAACTTCACTTGGGGTTTTTTGGTAGCTAATTGAAGATAAGTCTCAGAGACTTTACTGCCTGGGCTGGCTTTGAACCATGATCCTCAGATCTCAGGCTCCTGAGTAGCTACGATTACAGATGTGAGCCATCAGCATTGGGCTTACAGGTTATTTTAATTAGAACTTTTGTAGCCAATAGATTATTAATTTTTGAAATTGCAGTGAACCTTTTCCTACAAATAGAAAATCATACCTTATTTAACAGCAGAATGCATTCTGAGAAATGCTTCATTAGATGATTTCAGTTTCATTATTGTGTGAATCTAATAATACATTTACATAAACATTGATAGCACAGGTCTGTCACTTGACTTACAGATGTATGATGCTGCTCCCTGCATAATATGGCATATTGCTTTACAGTAAAATTTTCTTGCATTTTTTATGTCAGTATACATTAGCTATATAAGAGCGACTTACATTGCTACATTTCCATACATGTATATAATATATTCTAGTCTACCCCCTCTATGACTTTCTTACCTTCTTTGCTGTTATAGTTTCAGCAGGTTTCATTGTTCAGTTTTCATACATGTTGACCATCTATTTTGACCATAGTCATCCTTTTTCATCCTCATTAACCCAGCCCTCTCTTGCTAGTACCTATCTCAACAGAGCTTTTATCTCCTCATACCCCAAGTGATTAATAGCTTTCATTGAGGTTCTTTATGCTGTTTGATATATAGTCCCTTAGACTCATCTTGTGTGAGTAAACTTAGAAAAAAAAAGTAGAACAATTTAAATAATGATAAAAATGGTATATGGTAAATACATGAATCAATAACGTCATTATTCTTATCAAGTACTGTGTATAGTTGTTAGTATCACATTTTTATATGACTGGTGGTACAGAAAGTTGGTACTATATTGCAAACATCTAGGTAACGTTTCTAATTGATAGACGTTTTCATTTCCATTGTTATCTGATGGAGCTATGAATATATAAACAATCAGTCATTGAAGTGTTATGCATTACATAGCTACCTTTTCTTAATTTTTGCAAGTACTATTGGTATAAATTCTGAGTAGAATTGTAGAGTCAGGAGTTGTATATTTTACAGAATAGCCTTTAGCAAAGGTCAGTTCATATTTGAACTATGAAAGCCTCTAAACCCCTACATCCATTCATGAGAGTCAGCTATGTAGTTTGAATTTAATTCTGACATTTTTCTTACTTAAAGTTTTTAATAGAGGGCAAAAAATGCCTTTTATCCTATAAGGAGGTAGTTCTTGATACTAGAAGTTTTAGACTCAATTAAGTCACGTTTTTCATGGGAGTAGAGTATTTTGTCATTTGTGGTTGACTTTTTATTGTTTCTTTTCATAAACTCCTTCAAATTAAAATTTTCCCATTTTACTGGAAACACTTAATTTAACATAATTATTTACTTACTATCTTAGTAACTTACTATTGAGCTTTTTAAATAGAGCTTAATCTTGATTCTGTGTATTGTTCACCATTGGAACTCTTCTATTCGTTTTTAAATTTTTTTCTTTCAACCTGTGTTCCAGCTACTGCAGTGCCATCATTGATCTCACAGGTAAATTCTTCAGGCCTTGCTAAGTGTTTAAATGTAGACATCATGTTTTGTATAGAGACAGAACGTTAGAGATGAATCTTTCATGTTGAATGTGTGCTAGATCATTTTTTTTTCTGTTTTCTTATTTTTAGGTAGAGGTAGAGGTGAATGTGGTTTCTACCAAAGAAGTTTTGATGAAGTAGAGGGTGTGTTTGGTCGAGGAGGTGGCAGAGAAATGCATAGATCACAGAGCTGGGAGGAAAGGTAATTAAAGGACCCAGATGTTGGTATAAAGATACCTTGGTATATAAAACTTAAGTCAGATGCAGTAGTACATACCTCCAACCAGATTCTTGGAAGACCAAAGCAGGTGTTTGCAAGTTTGAGGCCAGTCTGGGCAAACTAGCAAGACTGTGTTAAATAGAAGTTTTCTTTTAAAGGACTGGGAATATAACAGTGGTAGAGTCCTTGCCCAGCATCCAAGAAGCCATGGGTTTAATAAAAGACAAACAATAGAACTAACTTATTTTCTGGTTTCTGCAGAGAAACCTCTATATATTGTTGTGGCATTCTTTTTTTTTTTTTTTAAAGTGCTACTAGTGAATATCAAATAGTATGTTGGCATTTTTTTTTGTTAACATAGAAAGGCTTTATTTGCAGGGGGGCAGAAGTTTAATCAAAACAGGCTAAATTCAATGTTTATCAGACATTTTTAAGTGAACATTAGGAGCTGGTGGGTGAGCATCTATAATCTTAGCTACTTGGGAAGCTGAGATCTGAGGATTGTGCTTGGAAAGCCAGCCTGGGCAGAGAAGTCTATCAAGACTTTTATCTCCAGTTAACCACCAAAGACCTGGAAGTGGAGATGTTACTCAAAAGGTAGAATAACAATCTTGAGTATAAAAAGGTTAATAAACAAGAGCTTGAGGCCAAGTTCAAGCTCTAGTACTGACACACACACACACAAAAGAAAATTTTAAGTGATTCTTATTTAAAGGCTGAAGCATTATAAACTAGTAGACCAAAATGTTATTGTCACTGTGGATAATTAGTTCAGTTTGAATTGGTTAGCATTTCAGGGGAAGCATTACCATTTTATTTGTTGCTGTTAGAAAAGCATCTTCTTTCTGTTGTTTGTGACTTTTGTGAAGTCTGTCCAGATGAATGAACGCATTTGCACAAAGAAGGGTAATTACAAGGTTGTTCACTATATTGATACTTACAATATAAAAAATTGGAAACAAACTGAACGGACTGATACTGCCCTTATAAAGGTTATCCACACTGTAGGATACCACATATAACCATTAGGATGGTTTTGGTCTTATTTAATGATGTGGGAAAACATATTCTAAAAGAACTATGTAAAACTATATATGTCATATATGTAATTAAGTAATATTCTAGGTCAGTAGAAGTTAGTTTTTGGTAGGTGAGATGGTAGAGTTTTTGTTGTCATCTTTGAGCTTTTCTGTAGTTCCAAATACTAGGCAATGAAGATGCCTTTTTTTAATATAACTTGGAAAAAAAAACTGGTATTAAAGGAAATGTAGCCAAGTGGGTGACATGGGAAATCTGTATTATTTTTCCATCCTTGTTTGAAACTTATTTTGTCTTTTTTAGGGGTGATAGACGTTTTGAAAAACCAGGGCGAAAAGATATAGGTAAGGTTCTTGTTTTGAAATATTTCCTGGATCTCTGTGGTAGTATTGGTTAACTAATGAGGCTCTAATATATGGACTCTTACTAAAAATCTCAGGTACCTGCACTTCTCCAGTAGATGGGGTTGTAGCATTGCTTTAATTTAGGACTCCATGGTTCTTTAAGGCTTCCATTGTATGAAACCAGGGGTGATCAATCTAATCACTAAGATTTCCCTTAACATTTTAGGTTTATATGTTCTCTGAAAGATATATATTCTTCATTAGGGCCCTTGAACTAAAGTTTGAAGTTAGAAATCAACTTGTTAGCTCTTTGCTTTTTTATTTTTTTGCTGGTCCTGGGGCTTGAACTTGGGGCATGGGCCCTGTCTTTGAGCTTTTGTGCTCAAAACTAGCTCTCTCCCATTTGAGCCACAGCTCCACTTTTGGCTTTTTATGGTTAATTGGAGATGAGAGTCTCATGAACTTTTCTTGCCTCGGCTGGCTTTGAACTGTGGTCCTCAGATCTCAGCTCCCTGAGTGGCTAGGATTACAAATGCAAGCCGCCAGTGCAAGACCCATTTGGCTTTTTACAATAAATAAGCATGGTGCCAATACTGGGGCTTGAACTTTGTGTTCTTGCTTTGCTTTTTCGCTCATGGCTGGTAGGTTCTCTACCACTTGAGTCACACCTCCAGTCCATTTGTGTGTGTGTGTGTGTGTGTGTGTGTGTGTGTTTAATTGGAGATGGAGTCTCATGAACTTGCTTGTCAGGCTGGCTTTGAACAGCCATCCTCCAGGTCTTAGCCTCCTGAGAGGCTAGAATTATAGTTGTAAGTCACCAACATTTGACTATTTTTGCTATGTACTTTTTTTTCTTTGTGAGATGTCAGCAATTAAATAAATGACATTACTAGGGCTGGGAAGGTGGCTCAGTGGTAGAGTGCTTGTCTTGCATGCATGAGGCCCTGGGTTTGATTCCTCAGCACCACATAAGCAGAAAAAGCCAGAAATGTAGCTCAAATGGTGAAGTGCTATCCTTGAGCTGAAGGGCTGAGGGACAGTGCCCAGGCCCAGAGTTCAGGCCCCACAACCTAACAAAGAAATAAAAAAAATTTTTAAAAATGATGTTACTGATGAGGAATATAATAAGGGAAGTAGATTTCAGTGTTCGTGAAGAATTAATCGTAATTTCTATACAAGAATTTATGTTAAGATGGGATTTCTGCCAGCAGACATTAGTTTCTGAGAGAAGAAAAATGCAACTTACAGTGTTATTGCAGTCATGAAATTATAATTTCTACCTTCCTGCAAGTTCCCAAAGAGTTCTCCAGAGTGTGATTAAGTCTGATAGTGATAAACATTTCTTATAGGTGAAGTATATAAATACCATTTACTGGTAGATTGTAACAACTAGTTTTGCTTTACTGTTTCCGTATAACACTCATTTAAATATATCAGTAAGTCAAATTCATTCATTAACACCATATTGGGAATACTTGGTTTATTTATATTAAGGGTAAGATATTAAATGAGTGTAGCATGAAGAAATTTGAGCCAGACTATGTTGATCAGTAATTGTATTTTTTGGTTCCTGTACTGGGGCTTGAACTCAGAGTTTTACATTCTCACTTAGCTTTATCACTCAAAACTAGTGCTTTACCACTTGAGTCACACCTCTACTTCTAACTTTTTGCTGGTTGATTGGAGGTAAGAATCCCAGACTTGTCTACCCAGACTCGTCTGGCTTCAAATAATGATCCTCAGCTCATAACCTCCTGAGTAGCTAGAATTATAGTTATGAGCTACTGGTGTCTAGCCAATTTATTGTAATCTTTACTCACATTGCACTTTATTAGTTACGTATAATCTTGAGGCACTTGTTTAGGACCTCTGTTCCCATTTTTGACTGATTCAGTAGTTTTGCCAGAGTATATGGAGAGGCATTGAGCATAAAGTAAATATACAGGATTTGAATGAGAAGAGCTTGAGTATTCTGGGTTCTTAAATATTCATTAGTTTTGAAATAAAATGAGTTGCCTTCTGAAATTTATAATGTTAAATAACACTGACTTTGCTTATTAGTTTATTCAATAAATATTGAATTTTGAATTACGTTCCAGACCTTGTGCTAGGTGCTAAGTCCTAAGTGCAGGGTCTTTTTTGGACATTTTTTTGAGGACATTGTTGGGTGTTTTCAGACTTTTAAATCATTCAATGTTAAAAGGGATATTTATGGAATGGGAAAATTTGTTGGAGTTGATCAGATTTAAAGTGAACCGAATCTAATTAAGTGAAGGTTTAACAGCAGAAAATAGGAAGTCTTATATAAGCACAATACAGAATTTAAAGTATAAAGTAGCCACTTGTAACAGTAGCTGGGGAAAGATTCTGCCCTCTCATTGACTGCAAGTTCATGTTATATAGTAATACAATGCTGCCTCACAGAAAATAGTCATATTTGCTAAGATTTAGTGTCCTTAGGGAGTCAGGTGATGGAGAATCCCACTGTCTTTCATGTTGTCATATGGTAAGCATCTTGCACACTTCTGGTGCTATATCTTGAAAGAGTCCCCATACACTAGCGTCAAGGCACTTTTGAAGCCTTATGATGAGGACTACATAATGGAAATGACACAATATAGATGCGAGAGAAGACCGTGGGCAGGACATAGCCGGAGATGAAGGTTTATAGGATCACTATTTGCACTTACTTGCTTAACTGTCATATGAAATACTTGATATAAAAGAGTTTCAAGGGCAGAAGAGTGAAATGATGGAAGACTTAGGGAGATAAGTATTTTACACATTCTTAAAGACATGTAATAATTAGAGTTGTTTGAAATGATTGGGTTGCCTTGGAAGTGGTCAGTTCCATGGTAGAATATCTTAATTCTAACCAAACACATATTTACATGTTGAATAGATGAGTGGTAAGTTAAATTTTTATCATTATTTGTGGATATGTTAATTCAATTTATTTTCTAGACAGATTCTATTAGGAGTAAAGACTTTTTTCTTTTCCACTCTGTAAAAATTCACTTGAAGAAGTGAATTCCATAAAACTAATTTGGCATGATATGTAAAAATATTAAGAAGGTCAGCATACCAACTACAAGTATATATATATATATTTTTTTTTGTCGGCCGTGGGGCTTGAACTGTGGGCCTGGGCGCTGTCCCTCAGCTCTTCAGCTCAAGGCGAGCGCTCTACCACTTGAGCTACAGCGCCACTTCCGGTTTTCTGGTGGTTTATTGGAGATA